TTTGGATGGAATAGTAGAAACTTACTCTTAACGTGCTTCTGTATCTAGTAGCAGTGGATCAACGACACCTCCAGGCAGGATCCTAGGTATTTTATGGATAAAAGACGAAAAGAAAAAAATGTTCGTAGATCATGGCAACATACTATCCTTAGCCCTCAAGAATATGTCAAGTTTCCTCTTTAAGGGCTCTTTGGAAGTCGTTTGGACTAGCTCAGCCAGCAGCGAGTTCCAGCATTTGGCAACTCTTAAGGAGTAGAAGGTATGTATACAGTCCGTTCTGCTATGGTATTTCCAGTTCTGGGCGTTTTCGGATTTACATTTGTGTAGTACAGACAGAAGGCCTACGACCTATGTTATTCCTTTTCTAGCATGCTTCTGTGAGTGTCCAGTCTTCCCTTGAATGAGTCTATTGAAGGTGCGGACACCACTGCTTCAAGCAGCAGGTTCCAAGTATTGATGACACGGTGTGAAAACCTGTATGCCATGGGTAGTTTGCTCGTTCATGGCTTTTCTGCTCGCTTGCTATGTCCTCTGAGGTGTCCCGATCTAGTGGGAAGAAGGAGAGAGAATAAGTTAGGTTCAAAATCATTTCTCAGTATTCTGTACATCAAAATTAGATCTCTCCTTAATCTGAGATAGAACGGAGTAAAGAGGTTCAGCTTTTCAAGCCGCCCTTTGTATGGTAAACCGCGGAGTACTGGAATTGCACGGGTAGCTGCCTTCTGTACTTTTTCAAGGATATCCGAGTCACCTTTTAGACAGGGGCTTGCAGCCTGAACGCAGTTCTCAAGCTTAGTTCTCATTAAGGATGTGTATACTGTGGTGAACATGGCAATATCTAACTTGGCGAATGTCCTTTTTAAAGCCTAGAGGGTTCGAAACCCTTTAGCGCCTACCTCCCGGCAATGGGCCGTCGTCTTAAGATCATGGATCACTGTCATCCCTAGATCCATATGAGACCCGACCACGGGTAATAGTGTAGAATTATCGTCTTCTATGATATTAGTACTGCTCTAATAATAGACCTAATCCTAAAATTGTAGATTTGTCATGATATAACTGCCTAATCTATAAGATCTTACGTGGAAGTCACATCATCGTCTACACCAACTCACTGTTTCGTAACAACTACTAATACATGATGAAGAACAAGCTTAGGCTAGAGAAAGAACAATATATTTAATATGAATAAAAGATATAAGGTAATATTCAGAGGGACCACGCCTGCATGGCTGAGCCATGCCATCCGATTAACTTCAATTCATTCGATTCTTTGTTCGCGCCTTCTCCATCGTTAGGTATTTCTCGGCGTTAAATATTGAATATCTATTTTCCGAGTAGTCTCGTGTTCAGCTTTGAGGATTGTGTGATTATGCTCCAATGCCACTACAATAGCACTTCCCCTATGTTGTGCCTATTAACCTTTTAATCCCCAAAGTGCATGTAGACACACTTTGCCGCGTTTATAGGCGTCAGCCTTTCTTTAGACCAGTTAATCATATTATTTAAGTCTGCCTGAAGAGCACCTGCGTCTAAGCCTTCAGTTATTACTCGACAGACCTTTACGTTGTCAGCGTATAATAACATTTGAGACTGTACTATACTTGAGAGATTATTAACATACATTATAAAAATTAAAGGACCTAAGTCGGAACCTTGAGGTAATCCACTAAGTACTGGTCTCAAAATGGAGAACTTGGAATTTATTCTTACTTTCTGTCTACGACCTACTAGGAAATCCTTAATCCATTTTAAAAGAGGTCCGGCAATACCAGGGTTTTCCAACTTCGATAGCAGTCTATTAGTCGGCACCTTGTTAAAAGCCTTACTGAAGTCTATGTAGACAACATCCACTGAATTCCCGTTGTCTAGCGCCTTTATCCAAAACTCCCTTGCTATAAGGAGGTTCGCTGCACGAGACAGACCCTTTCTAAAACCACGTTGTTCTATGTTTAGCAAGTTATTGGTTTCCATAAATGCCATTATTGTCCGTTTGACTATCCATTCCAATATTTTAACTACAACACTGGTCAGACTTACAGGTTTGTGGTTCGATTAAACTTGTCTTGGTCCTGTTTTATGTGTGGGGGGTGACGATTGAGTCCTTTCAGTCCATAGGTAACACACCTTGATCAAGTGACATATTGAATATCACAGTCAACGGGACCGCGATATATTATGCAATATATCTCAAAATTTTGGGGTGTAGTTCATCTGGTCCTGTCGGCTTTTCCATGTTTAAGGTGCTAAGAGCCTTAAGCACATCGTCTTGATCGAAGTCAACGACGAGCAGGTGGTTTGTTGACTCTGTTTTGGTTTGGTTCTTTGTCTAGAGTGGGTTCCTGAGTGAAAACTGCCCCAAATAGTCAGCCATAGCTTCTGCTTTTTCCTGATCTTCCTCTATCATTTCAGATTTACTTCCTACTTTAATTAGGTTGGGAATCCAGTGATGCATCCTTGTTCTGTAGTTTATGTGCGAGAATATTCTCTTGGGCTGCTTGAGTGCAGATTATGCCAACTGCATTTCATATTTTCTTTGAACTTCTCGAATTTCCGTTATACACTCGTTTCTTATCGATCTGTAGTGTTCCATAGTACTTGCTGTGCCAAGGCGGATGGCAACATCGCAACATTCCTTCTTTTGTCTCAGTAAACGTCGAATATCCCGCCCTATCCATGGATATCCGCGCTTCGTTTTCTTTGGGACAGTCCAGGGTATGTATGGTTGAGTTACCCGATTGTATAACTGCCTGAAAAAAGTTCATGCCTCTTGTACTGATGTCTTTGAGTCAATTTCCCAGATTTCAGCCGATGCTGCGGAATTGATTGCCTCCATATCTGCCTTCTGTATATTAGGACGGACCGGCGCAACTGTTTGACAGGCAATCTCAGTCATGAATTTGAATAAGATGACTGCATGGTTACTTCTCCCTAATGGTGGGAGAAAAGTCATTCGACCAACGTCATCTTCGTGTGTGAAGACTAAATCTAAAAGAAAAGAAGAGTTTCTCAAGTCATATCTCGTGGGGTTTCTAATGTGTTGGAATACAGCTAATCCAATCGAGGTGTCTAACAGTTGGCAGTCGAACGACGTTATCAATGACCCTACTTCTAAGTTAACCCAGTTTACATACGGTGCATCAATGTCGCCTACTACGAGGCTTTTACTCTTGTTACACCAGGACTTAAGTTTTCTGAGGAGAAAATCATCTGCTACACATTCTGGACTGCGATATACTACAACTAATTCAATATCTTGCCTTCGGCATTTCAACTTACATCTCACCAGTTCACATGTCCCTGAAACATGTGTCACAGTCTCAGCTACTCTTATGGTTAGGCAACTTTTCGTGTACACAATAACCCCGCCTCCCCTACAGTTTAATCTATCAGCCGTACTGGTTAAGAAACCAGTCAACTGAATTTCATTATCTAATACTTCTGACGTTACCGAAGTTTCCGAGACAGCAATAACATCTGGTTTTTCTTTATCTACCATTGACTTGAACTCCGCCATTTGATTTAGTAGGCTGTGAGCATTTGTGTAGCAAACCTTTAAGTCTGTGAGAACTTTCCCTTGCCACCCAGAGTGGCTTGGGGATCGTTTTGCTCCGAACTTTTGCAATTTGAAAACCCTTAAGAACGAGGTTTCTTTCACCGTTTCGGCGACGCTCATTTATTTCCGCTTCCACACCTCGTCTCTTAATACGATCAGCTAGGCTGAGATCCTCACGGACGCATACTCCGGATCCAATCAGTTTACGTGAGTTACTAGAATCAGGTTCCTTTCTTCCACCGTGTTGAATGTAGCCTTCAAGAGGCGGTTTTTCTGAGGACTTTCAGACTCCACCTTTTGTCGTATTCTATGAAGCTTACAAATACTAACTCCTGAAACTGTATCTGGAAGTAGTTTGCTTATTAAGGACTTAATATGACTGAGATTATGTTCAAATCTAGCCTTTGGTTCTTAATCGGGAGATTCTCTTAACTTACGAAAAATGGCTGACCTCTCAGAGAGATCTGTCTTGACACGTAGTGGAGTTTTTGTTTCTGTTACTGTCTCTTTCAATGACTTGCTAACCAGCTGCGTTTTGCTTACAGCTCTTTTCTCATTTCTTTTTCTCCGTACTGAAGTTCATTTTTCATCACTCAGGACAGCCACACCGGGACTATTTGGAACAGTGACAGTTTCATCCTGGTCTTCAATTTCCGCTAGAGGTGTATGATTACCGATGTCAATATCAAGCGGCACTTCACTCCTTGTTGATGTTAACGGAGATTTCACCTTCTCGCCAATCACAGTCGGGTGTTTAGCGGGTCCGGTAGCGGCACGTACTACACTGGCACATTCTTCACCGTCAGTGTTCATGTTACCAGCGCAACCACCATCGTTTCTCTTACAGGCCAAAGGCAATAGGCTCATAGCCTCCTTAATTAGTAACTTCTTATTTGCACAGCAAAGCATACAAAGCCAACACGAATTAGGCTTCGAGTATTTTTTGTATGCCGTAGGACTTGGACGTGTACACATCTCATGGTACCACTTTTTACATTCATCGCACTGCATTCCTTCCTCAACGGGGAACAAGCAGTTTGGTTGTCCACATAAGTCCTCATAAGTCTTACTAACCATAGTGTTTTGATTAAAAAGGTTTAAGACACAATATGGTCACAATGTGAACACGAGTGTCAGTCAATGAGTAAAAAAAGTTCCACAGGACAAAGTTTAACAAAAATTTCAAACCTTAACCAAAGTACTTTTAGTTAAAATCGGCCAAGAATGCTTTTTGGTGCAACAAGTACACAAAGCAAGGATAATCACGACAAGTACGAAAATCACTGCCCTTTATGAAGATCACTGTAGAAACAATTATCGCCTTTCCAAAGTTTGCATCAGGAGAGAACAATTAGAGGGATAAATTTTTACTCTTAAGAATCAGCTTCAGTAGCCTATATGTAAATTTCAACAGACGAACAGAAGCCTATTTCTGATACGAATTGAGTTTTGGATTTGGTGGTGGGAATTTCGACATTACTAGGTCAGTTCGTGTTATGCAAAATGGTGCAATCTAACCATAGTATCTTACCTATTATTTCTGCTTGTGATGAGTCTTCTACAGAGCAAAAAGCGAAAAAAGATCATTTCCTTTCATTGCGTAATATCTCTCACATTTGTTTCATATCAGTGATTGTTCTGAAGTTATATGGAGAGTATTTCACTAGTACATGAGACATCTTGAAAATCAGTTCTTATAGATATTGTTTTGGCGTCATGGGGATACATTACGGTCCTCTTCATGAATTCAGAGATACAGACAAGTGATTTCAATACTTCCCAGTTAGCATTAACCGGGACCCTAGAGGCAGTCTCGTAGCCCTCCTGGCAGTTTCGTGAACACATAATTTTCTTCGAAGTAGCCTAAAGTGCTTCGGGTGCCTCGAGGGTCCCCTGATCTTATGCTAACTGGGCTTGAGCTGTGCTTATTTAATACTGTTGTAGGTTTTTTCGATCTCTCATACCGGAAGATTTGCATTCCCTTATCCGTCGTTTCACTCTCACATCTATGTTTAGTTCAATACTCTTTATGGAACCAGGGTTTTTATAATGTGTAAGCTTTTATTTTTTCGACAGTAACGTTTACAGTTTCCTATTGCAGCCTTCTAGCTCTGTATCAAGTCTACCACTGAATTTGTGGTATATTTTCATCTCCGATTGCTCTTTAAAACTGTTATCGATATTTATTAAAAGCGTATCTTTGTTGTGCCTGTCTAAAACACTTGATTGCTACTCTATGGTAGGTTGGTTTAATCTATCCGTATGATATTCCTGGTACTCTTTATGGGTTGACAGTTCGAGATATTGAATATTTTATCTTTTTCTTATTTTCACGTTACCCAGTTTCATTGGACACTGTTAGTCACGCAGGGTTTTTAGTTATTCAAAACTCGGAAATGCCATTGGCTTCAGGGTTGCTTTAACTACATCTCAAATATATCGTATTTGCATAAACAACATGAGGCTTAATATCTTCATTACTGGACGAGTGTGTTGATACCATAAAGAACAGGGTATTCGTAAAGTGATACTTAATAAGTCAATGGCATTCACATTTATGTGGGATCAATGGATATTTATACGTCTCTACCCGTTAAAAACTTATGATAATAAGCCGTCTGTGACTTTTTTTCGAAAGACCTGTTCGCCAAATCCCCTTCATTTGTCGGATTATGTAGCCTTAGTTCATCCACCGTTGTACTTTTACCTTATAATTTGTGTCTTGATGTGCTAATAACCTATTTGTGTATAGACTTCGTCACTGCGTTAAAACGTAAGAACCTGTAGTTTTTTACAAAAAGTGAAGGTAGTATCATGTCAACTTGAAAAGATATGGTCTTCGTGAACTCAATATTGTTGTATTATCTTCTCTATAGTATCAAAAAATCAAACATACAGAACTCAGTAGAGAAAATATTTTCGAAAGAATCATAGAGTGGGTTTCATTCTGTAGCTTATCGACTCAGTACACTGCATTACTCATCTGAAAGCACCTCTGGTTTTCCCTTAACTTAGTACTACTCAGTCAATGGTTCTACGACCTACAACTCTGTAATCAACTTTTAGCTCGTATTTACATTAAACTACTTTCTGCGTAGAGTCTAGTTATGGTTACTCACTGTGAAATCTAAGTAAAGTGGGTTTTAGACTTATTACCAACTGGTTACAACCAGAATGGTCAAACTTCTAAGTCACCACTCTTTCCAAGTTATTAGTGAGTAACGGCGCTGTTGCACATCATAATTAAGTTCATTTGGAAAGAGTTCTCATTAATATCGGATGGGATGGCGAAGATTTATTGACTTTAAGAAACTTCATGAGAGAAAATTTTTAAATGGCTTTAAAAACTTTTCCATAGAGAAAGTGGACTAGAACTCTCGTTATAGTAGTCAATCTTAACCCGTATGTTGGGGTAATGGTTGTCAATCTGACCGTAATATATACTCTACAAACTACAGTTCCATTGCTGTAATGTGGTTAAATAATGGTCTCAGGTAATCCAGAATTGTTTAATAAATTCTTTCCTGCTACATGTCAATTAGTAAAGTAGTAAGATTCAAGAACTTTTATGACCTTAACTAATGTAATGCTTGTAGACGGAATGTTGTTATTGTGTGTTTTCTTCACTCTTATACAACCAATCGGCCTAGGTTGTGTTTCGACGGTCGTTTGATTTCCATAACTGATTGAGTTAAGGTGTGTTATTTAAAAAAATTTCTAAGTCCTTAATCCAGTGAAATAATTTGTCAGTTTATGATACAACTACTTGATATCATTCAAGTTATCTACATAAAATAGTACTGATTTCTTGTGTGCTAGCAACGATTATTACATACACTTCAAAATTTGCACTAGCGGTAAACTTGACAGTATTGACTTTCGTCATTAAAACAGTCGGTCAAAAAACTTGACACGAATAAAAAAGTAGCATTTTAAAGTTTTCTAACCAAGCATTTAGTGGTCTCTTCATGGCGTTGAGGTCATTCACACCCAAATACATTTTATGACTATAGAATCAAGATAGAGATAATTTTCGTTACTTCTTGTCAGTCTAATAACCTTACTGTTAGATATATGAGGTTTAGAGCACACAACATCTTCCGCTAGCTGGTTGTTGTGTAAATGCCCGTACGTTCTAGTCACTGCCTTCTCGTGGTGCGAAATTGAGAGGGCGAAAAGCCGGCACTTTATATGAGTTGGTGGATACGGAGGACCCACTTAGGGGAGTTAGAAAACTCTGATTCCAAACCAATGGTGTACATGAGCTCCGGGATCATAAGGAAGCAAATGGCGTACGAACCTATTGTTGGTCACAGGCTACCATGGGACTGCATCTGCTTACGTTGCTCCACTGCCTTATGGATTAGACCTTTAGGTCTAAGGCTCGGGGTGTAGCCCCCTAAGAAAGCCACCTGCTTCAGTTTGGGCACCCGAGCAATAATCCAGCTCTTGCACAAATTAAGTTATTTGTGTGGCGCATATACATGTGGTGACTCCTTGTACCAATGTTTATATGCTTATATAAACAAATAAACATTCTAGTCATGTTTGTCCAACTTTTCATACATTCTGGTATCCATTTTACGCCATTTTCGTTTCAGGGTTCATTACTCTGTTTTTTGGAATATATATTTTTATTCCTAAGACACATACCACCTGGGATTCTGTGGATATATTTCCTGGTAGAATTAAATTGGAAACTACAGGGCATCTTAGCTGGGAGAATATTTGTATGCTTATTATACTGTATTTTAAAAGTGAGTTACATCTTAACACTCAATTATATAAGTGTTTTATGTAATGTTAAACGTTTTTAACACTCGTGGAAACACTGTTCACATCTTAATTTTATAACATGTGTTAGTCACTGACGGTTGGTTCTTATTGCGTGTGATAAGAAATCAGTATTCACAGTGTTAGTTTACTATAAGTAAACGTGAATGTCAGACATCATCCTCTTGGATTCCAAGTTCATGATAACCATAGTATATTTTATGTTACCCAGCATGATGGGATTACATTGGTTGTGTTTCAATCTTTTTGATGTTATTCTTCAAAATCAAAAAAAGAATGTACATTGTTATAGTCACCCTATTGCTCTTAATGGTTTATTGTGGCAGCTTTCTGTCGTAGCTTAATTTGGACATGATGATGTCAGATGCAGTTAGAGGTATGATGGCAGCTGTCACCTGCTTGCCCACACCGTGGAAGGATATTTCTTAAGATATTTGAAAAAGAAGCTGGATTAACGTCGGTCTTAGCGATCTAAGAGTAATGATCAAGGACGACTGCTTGGGGACGGTCATGGACGACCTTCTTATGGTACGCGTTTCAAACAAATTTACTCCTGCAGATGGAAATCTGTAGAGTGAGGTGAGGTGTGACAATTTTATGATAGACGTTTTCCAACCTCTTCATTCCTTCACAAAAAGCAGCATCGCTGCAGATGCTGATTGTCTACTGTCACAGCCCTCTACAGTCAGGAGTATAAGTTCACCCACAGGCCTTAATTTGCTGCTTCTAGTTTTACCGTTCTCCACCCGACCTGTCTGGCATGGTAGGACCTGAAGAGACAATTGTTCCAGCCAATATAGCTCGACTGAGTCATCACGATAGGCAAGCTCGACCACCACGTCAAGTTGGCAGCTGTGATCAAGCAACTTTATCTGTGTTTGTTCTTTGGGTACGTTTAAGTGTCCATCAGTATCATATGGATTTTAACTCTTAGTTATCTAACAAGATTTTGAACCAGTAACCGGTATCAATCATTTTCATTTTATAAGTGTGCATCTTAAATTTACACATGCTTCTGTACTGCTTCCGAGTTGAGTTTTACAGATAATTTTATAATTCCTAACACTCACTTCATTTAGATTCTTCACGAAGAATGAAAGTTGTGTTTTCAGTTTCGTTGAAATTATGAACTGATCCAAATTTGAACACCATTGAGACCCTGAAAGCACTAGACAGCCTTTTCGTCCTAGTACGGGACACCCCAGAAGCGCACACCCACGGCCTCGGACTCGAAAATTGAGTCTAACACCTTCAGGCTCACGCGCGGACGTCTGACTTCTAGACTTCTGAGTCAGAATTCATTCGTGCTAATGTCTAACTTCAATGAATCCACGATATTGCGTGACCACCTTCCATCGTCTACGGTAGTTAACTACCACATATGACGCAGTTTAGCTCCATTGGCGCTCACGGATTCTCACTAGAGCTTCTGAAATTCTCTCTCGGGGTCAGTCACTAGTGAGAACATGATGATTGTTAGTATGGGGTTATGGGGATTGTTGGATCTCAGTCAAATCATGACCATGTTTTCAACAGTGGTTCGTGGTTTCGATGAAACTCAACAATTTCTAAAGCCACATATTGACATACATTTGAGGTTGCTTATTCCTACATAAGAGATAATCCGTTCTGCTATATCCTTGGTCATCTTGGTTCTGTTGAACATAAGGTTTTACAGCATGTCAATTTAAGTTTCAGTTTTGTTTTGTTTTTGCATCTTGTCTTACTGTCGTGATAGTATCAGGATTTTCATATTTTGTTCTTCATTTCGTGAAATCTATTTAGAGCTTTATTCATTACATTCAGATATTTTTGAAAATGTTGGACAATATTATCAGTTGTTAATTTTAACGTTCCGTAACCATCGTACTTTGTTGTGCTTTAAGATTGTGTTTTCTCATAGTATCTTTTGTTTGTGAAAAATTACTAATTGGTGGAGATTGCAATTTAGGACTTATTCGGAAAGATATGTAATTTCACTAGAGGCGTTTAAATTGATCACCTTATTCTTTAATAAAGGATAGTCTTTCGTTATAATGTTAATAAACGCAGTACTCGTTTGGTACTGACAATAGGGATCAGTAATCTCGATAATACTTCGTTTTTAGATCTCTCGTAACCAATTCCAATATTTTTTGCACTGCTAATAATTCGCAAATCTGACGTGAATGCCAAGAAAAAACTACTTACATCCTCTTTTCTTTCCTGCCCCAGTGGCCAGAGTGAAAACATCAGTTTTTGTAGATTAAGCTATTTCATTTTCGCCCAGTATAATCATCCCGAAATGCAATAAGTTTTATCAATTATATATCGTTAAAGAAATAATTAGAATACTTAAATTGAGTATTTGTCACTAATACAAAATATCGTAAAAATGATTTAAAACTCCATGTGTTCGCACTGAATAATTTGCCGTAATAGAATCTCAACCTAATTGATATTGGTTTGCTTCTCATAAGTTGTATTGAGGTTGAATATCCCTGGCCAAAGTTAGTCGTAGGATACTGGGTCGGTCAGTCAGTAACAACGTGGAACTTCGTACGTACGTACATCAGTTCGAGTTGCCATACCACATTAGCATAGAGATGTAGCTGTCGATTCAAATCCCGTAGTGGTAGAAGTAGTAAGAGTATAAGCAGTAATTGGAAAGATTAGGGTTTGTAGATGTTGTTTAAAGAGTATAATCCAGTGAAATAAATTTAGGAAGAGAAAAAAGAGACAAGGAGGAACCAGGAAATTAGAATTTGGAAGAACGCAAAGAGTGTATGCACCTGCGCCCTTGCAAACGATTTTGAGCCATGTCATTCAGGGTCTCTAACCATCGGTTGCTGTCATCTCACGGTCCCCAACCAGGTAGTCTACACCTACCAACATGACTCAGTCCACTTGTCAGTGACTTCATGGACTTGTGCCATGTTTTGGTCTGGCCGCCCCTAGCTTTCTTCCAATCTACTCCTGTACCACTAAACATCGCACATCGAGGCAGTCGGTGGTTGGGCATACGTAACACGTGTCCCAGCCATCTCAACTGATAAAGTTTCACTACTTCATCAGTCGATTTGCCATCCTTACCTAGTACCCGTTTCCCAACAACCGTATTACTTACTCGGTGGTCCCAGAATATACGAGCAATGCTTCGAAGACACCCATGATCAAATACTAGTAACCTACGAATATCCTCTACTATCACTGGCCATGTTTCACCGCCATACAGTAGGACGGAACGAACATCTGCGCAGTAAACACGTCCTCTGATTGATAAACGGATATCTTGCCTACGCCATAAATGACGCAAGTTGGCGAAAGCTAGTCGAGCCTTCTGTATCCGTGCTGAGATTTCGTCACACACTAGACCACAAGGGCTGTTGAGACTTCCAAGATAAGTGAAGCGATCGACACGCTCAATTACTTCACTCCCTATCATTAGTTCTGGAGTCGATGTAACCCAATCCTGAAGCAACATTTTGCATTTCTTGGGGGAGAATCGCATCCCGAACATGCTCGTATTGCTACTTAGAGTGGTCATAAGACTGCGTTTTGTCAGCGTCTTCACCAAGTAAAACTATGTCATCAGCACATTCTAAGTCAACAAGTGAACCTCCCGGTAGAAGTTCAACCCCTGGAAATTTAGACGAGGAAAGTGTTATCTCTAAAAGTACGTCGACCACAAAGTTGAACAAGAATGGAGAGAGTGGACAACCCTGACGAACACTACTTGAGGTAATCAATTGTGATGACAGTTCGCCATAAGCTCTCACTCGACCAGTTGTGTTCGAGTAGAGAGCCTTTACAAGGTTAATGTACTTCTTTGGTACTCCTTTCAGTGACAAACACTGTCATAGAACCTCACGATCGACAGAGTCGGATGCTGCTTTAAGGTCGAGGAATACTACGATTGTGGGGCTTCTGAACGTGTGTCTGTGTTCTAAAACCTGACATAGTGTGAATATGTGGTCTATACAAACAAGTCCAGGTCGAAAACCAGCCTGATTTTCTCTAGTCTGCTCTTCACGAGCTTTAGTTAGGCGTTGAAGTATTATTGAAGCTAATATTCCAGATACTATATTAGTCAAACTGACTCAGCTGTGATTGTCACAAGAGGACTTTTGTCCTTTCTTATAGACTGGCACAATCAGTGATTGAGACCAGTCAGATGGGATTACGTCCAGTTCCCAAATTCTACCTAAGACCTCGGTTAATCTCATTGCTAATACTGGACCACCATCCTTAAAAATCTCAGGAGTAAACTTGTCAGAGCCTGCTGCTCTCCCTCGCTTCAGATTTCCTATAGCTTTTCAACTTCGTAAAGAGACGGAGGACCTACATTAACTTGCCATTCAGGTTGACTAGCGATCGTGGGAAACCGAAGTGTGGCTGAAGGCCAAATGAAGTGATCCCTAAAGTGTTCTGCCCATCGATCCAATCTCCTGGATTGAGAATGAGTAGTATGTCCATCTTTCTCTGAGATTGTTTTGCTAACGGTCGGGTTCCTAATTCCGGTTTCCTTAACGAGTCTGAACAATTGTCTGCTATTACCTATTGCCGCTGCCTTTTCCATCTCTCTTACTTTCGCTACCCACCACTGTTCGCGATCATTGCGTAGACTTCTTGTCAGCTTGCGCTTAAGCTGACTCCGCTCTTCATTATGTTCAGAGCCAGGTGGAATGAGTTTCCGAGCATCTATCAGTGAGATAGATGCTGCTGAGATCCAGTGTTGCTCCCTAACCTTCTGGTTTACCTTACTAGCAGATATCACTGCTGTTTCCACAGCTTTTCGGATATCATTCCATGCTGCCTCGGGGTGGGCATCACATACATGGCTGCCTAACTGTTTTCCTAGTTGTTCCTGAAATATACTCTTAGCTTGACTATCATTAAGTAGGGCCCTAAGAGGTTTACTTGCAGCGTCTTTCCTACGTCCAGTAAGACGCAGACAGATACGCGCTCGCACTAGAGCATGATC